CGATTTGTACCTTCCTTAAAAGTTGTTCTAGCTCGCTATTCTAATATCTATATGCAATCTTCACACTGTCGTTCTCTAACGGAACTATCAACTATATGCTTTCATCTACTCCATCTATCGTATAAAAATTACCACTACAGTCTGTTATTTGAAGTTAGCATCTTCAACTATATATTATTTCTTTTTAAATTCAAATAGTATAAAATACAGAAAAAAAAAATTCAGCTAAGCTTCCAGTTGACCAAATCCGAATTTCTGGGCCTTTCGATTAACTCCTGCCATCAGATTCTGAACAGCCACCTCGTCCACTCTGTTTGTCGCAGAACGCCAGTTTGCCTTAAACTGCTTCTAGCTATCAAAAGTTTTTCGGGTCATCTTCAGGTTCCGCTTGACAATGACCCAATATTTTTTTTTTCAATTGGCTGGAGCTATGGAGTGTTGGGAGGATTCTTGTACTTGGGCAGCACCTGCACGTTGTTGTCGGCATACCACTCCATGGCCTTTTTTCCGCAATGATGGGATGCCAAATCCGGCCAGCACAGCACGGAACAATCGTGTTGCTTCAGGAAAGGCAGCAGACGTTTTTCCAGACACAATGTTCACGTAAATTTCCTGGTTGACGGTCAGGGTTGCAATTCAAATGTCACTTTTCGCGCCACAAGTACAGATAGCCTGCCAAACCAGATATTTCTTAGCGAACTTTGACAGTTTCATATGATTCCTATGAAGCCTACCTTCACGTAGGATTCGTCGTCCATTACCACGCATTCTAACTCCGTTAGCCTCGCCGTGTACAGCTTCCGGAATCGTGTTTTGGCCGTCTTGTTTTGTTTGTCGTCGCGATTTGGAGTCACTACCTTCTTATAGGGCAACAGTCCGGCTCGTATTGTAGCTCGATGCACGGTTGTAGACGATACTCCCAGCTTGTTTGCGAGATCTCGGACGGAGAGGTTAGGGTGCCGCTTGAAACCATTTGCCACTCTTTTTGTTGTCGCTGCGGCTTCCGGGTTTCGAAACGTTCTCCGAATATTTTTATAATGTTGGTGACAGTTGATTTTATTTATTTATTTATTTATATGACTGAACATCAACAGGCGTAATTTGCCCCAATGATGTAACTTAAACTAAACAAACAAAAACAACTAAAACAAAACATCAATAAGTACATAGATAGTCATCTCGTAAAAAAAAGGAACATTACTAAACAAACTAAACTGATCTAGGAAAAAACGAACTAAACCTCCGGCGAAGCAGCTGGCGAGTCAGGTCAAAATCAAACAGTGCGGAGACCAGGGGTTGAAACGGTTGACGTTTTTTTACGACACTCGCTTCGTTGTCGTGCGCGACAGTCCGTTTGTATTCGTACACTCATGCTCTACTGTCGTTTTTCTCACACAACACGAACGGTAGAATAACATTCGAGCTAAAAGAAATTTATCAAATAACTATCATATGACATGTGTGATTTCGATGTAATTCCTCAATTTGGTGATTAGAAATGTTTTAACTAATACATCATTGCTTGCTATTTTATGAATTCACACAAGCACAACAACTGCAGCTCTTATTATAAGAAAAACCAAAATACATACATTCGTGACGGTCTTCGGCGACAGTGTCGTATGACAGAGCCTGTCATATGACATTTTAGTTTGGTACTGTACTATGATAGCTTGTTTTGCAAGTGTCGGAGGCAAAGGCAGTCGATTATCACAGAAAATGTGTCGACTACCGTGACCGCTTACAAGACTGGCGGAGACCCTATTGAAGAGTCTCTGTAAACCACCGATTGCACCGAACATGCTATAATTAGTTCGCTGTATGGGCAGGCGCAGCATTGAATTATTCCGTACGGCTCGGGGTTGAACATTGATGTCAACTTGCTCAAGGAGGACAGGGCAATCGGTGCGTCATTGCAAAATATCCGCAATTAGAAATGCCCTTGCTGTAGCTCTTCGGACCAACAGGCGCTCCAGATGGATAAGTTGCAAACGACTTTCGTAGCTAGGCAATCGGAAGGGATCCGTCCATGGCAGTTTACGTAGCGCATATCTCAGGAACCGTCGCTGAACAGACTCAACTCTTCCGACACCGTTGTTGTAGTGAGAAGTCAAGACAAGGAGCAGTACAACGATTTAAGGCAGTAGATATCCATGAAGTCTTTGGCAATCCTGAAGATAAACCCTAGAATTCTGGAAGCTTTGTCGACGGCGCGCGAGATGTGCTGCTTGAAAGAGAGTTTTGTATCCATAATCACGCCTAGGTCCTTAATTTGGCTGACGCGCTCAATTTCAGTGCCTAACAAAACATACTTGAACATAATAGTCTCTTTCTTGCGCGAAAAAGAGATAACCGAGCATTTGGGCGGGTTAACCTCCATACAATTCAGAATACACCAATCAGCAAAAGCATTCAGCTGACGTTGAAGGAAGCAACAGTCTTCAATTGAGTGATTTCGGAGGTAGACTTTAAGGTCATCTGCGTAAGATAATCGTGGTCCCTCAATTACCAGATTCACTTCGTTGAAATAAATCAGGAAAATCAGAGGTCCCAGGTGACTACCCTGGGGTATGCCAGATATGGCAGTGAACGTACGGGACTGGTGATCACCAATGACAACAGTAAAATGGCGATCGGTGAGGTACGACCAAGCCTACCAAGCCTGTCCAGTTAAGCGATTGATATGCGGTGATTCAATTTATCGAAGGCAGCAGATAAGTCAGTATAAATGACACCCGTCTGAGCACGATCCGACATACTGTTAGAGATGTAGGAAGTAAGGCACAGCAAGTTAGTGGCAGTGGAGCGACCAGCCATGAAACCATGCTGGTCGATACTACTTCCATAACAATGAGTTCGAACAATTAAGCAATAGCGTTAAGCGAAGTAATGCCACGGTAGTTGCCAACGTCCTGTTTGTTGCCTTTTTATGTACTGGAAACATGAGCGCTAGCTTCCAACAGGATGGGAAAACACCGACGTCCACAGACCGTTAAAAAACGTGCAGCAGTGGAGACAACAAACTGTCCAAGTGCGTTTTGAGGAACGTCGATGGAATTCCGTCAGGACCCGGATTGTACGATGACTTGAGTTTCGAGGAAGCCCTGAAAAACATCTAGGGATTTATGTCAATTCTGCTCATGGTTTGACCAGAGAGTGGTACGTAACTGGCAGCCAGTCGGGCATGGTCGTCACTCAGTCTCTCGTCAGTGAAGACACTAGCAAATTTTTCAGAGAACAGCTGACAGATATCTTGCGTAGATGCGGCCACGTTACCATTATGTGTCATAGACGACATCAGACCAGCTTCATGACGTTGTTCGTTGACAAACTTCCAAAACTGCTTGGGACGTGACTTAAGCTTTCTCTGCAATCCACGTCGATACTGAAGAAAGCACCGTTTCTCAACTCGTTTGTATGCGTGATTGATCCTGATATAGTGACGGTGAAGGGATAGTGTGCGGTGCTTGGTGAACTTCCTAAGAGCGGCTCTCTGTCTGGATTTCAGTCGACGAAATTCGCTCGTATGCCATTGGTGGATGGGTCGTATGATGATGAATCTTTTTCGGAACGTGTCTGTCAATGATGTATGCCAAGACATTGGAAATAATTTGACCGGCGGACTCAATGTTAACGGTGTCCAATAAGTCATCCCAATCTAAATTGGAGAGTAACTCGGCGATACTGCCATAGCCGGCGTTGCAAAAATCGTAGGAAACGGTGACAGGTGAAATATTAAAATCATGCATCAGCTTAGTACTTAACGTCACCAGAAGCGGCGGGTGGTGACGATCCAGTCTCACCAGAGGAGTGGGCGCCTCGCATAAGAAAGGAGCCATGTCCTGGGCGCTTACAAAACAAAGATCCAAACTGCGGTTGTTCTGGTTAATAACACTTTCAACGATTTCACTAGCTTCGCTAAATTTGATACGTTCCTCGCCATTTTAATAACTGAAGAACAAATGTCAAAATCAAAATACAGGCATCGTTCTGCATGCACACACCCACAAAATGAGGTGTATTCAGGTTTTTAAATGCTCGAAATGCGTCAAGCTAAGGTCGACCAAATTCTGATCGCAACACCCTTTATGTAAAAACTGATGATCTCATACTATACAATCGGCAATATCAGCGCCTGCCACGTCCGAATGGTGGTTTGTCATGATACACGCTTTGTTTGGAAGCCGAGAAATTCTCTACATTCCCACAAAATATCACTGGGATATTTGATAAAAGTCAGTTATGTAAATGTACTATTAATACAATGAAATTCTCGTTTAGGGGGTATTACACTCTGGCGGCCCGAGATAAAGCCTTACTTTACGATTTTTTCGGGGCTAAATGAACAAAGGAAATGCGTAGGATTATTTATTCATGACTGTAGTATGACGGAGATTTATTTCGTTCCTATTGGACCACTCCCGCGACCGCTGCACCAGGGGTCATGTGGCCGCTACGGATGATTAAGCACGGCTTTTCAACCCCTGCAAATATTTCTCGGATTATCTTCGAAGTTTCTGCTAGAATTTCCGCAGGATTTTCATTGAACTTCGTATAAATTGTTTTTATTTTATTTTTTGAAACTAAGCTGAACAGATGGTAGGAACTGTGGTTGGCAACCTGTCACGGTAGTTTCATTTTGGGATTAAATATTTGTTTCATTTAAGTAAATAACAAACAAGTAATATCTCCATTATCGCTAACAGCACGAGCAATACTTTTCATGCAATAAATTGCACATTCTCAAAAACCACATTTTTGGTCGTTAGATAAGAAGGTGCATTCGTCTATATTTGGCATAATGCGCGCAATAAGCCAGGAAAACAATAATCCTTATCATTATGCAATAAAATTAAATACATGTACAAAGCCGCACCCATATTTCCATCTGATAAAGCTTTTAGAGACAAGGATTCCCCACATTTCAAATCAATCCTCATTGGCACACGCCACTCGGTTAACATTCTTGTAAACTTACTATCACTTTTTCTCCTCTACAGCACCCTGGAGGTCATGATGTACTGCTGGAGCACGCCGGACGGGACGCAACGATTGCCTTCACCGGAGCGGGTCACTCGAAGGCCGCATTTGCATCACTCAAAATGTACGAAATCGGAGAACTGCCACTGCATGAATGCATGTACCGCTGCCAGGGAATGCTCAAAGCATTTGTTCTGCCGGATTAGAAATTTGGACGAACCCTGGGGAAGCAATATCCTCGTTGGACGTTGAGACTGACTTGAAGATTCGTTTGGTTATCTGAACCGTTTTGGCTCACTTTTGTTTAATCATTTATTTTTACTGTAAAACAGTTTTGAATTAGTTCCAAGAGCTACTATTCAGGAAACAGTTTTCGTTTTGGTAGCAAAGCTTTAATCCTACGGAAGATTGCCGTATTGCAGAGACATGAGTCCGAGTACGCTCCGTGCGACAGTATTTGAATGCGAATTGAGAACACACATGCATACACATTTAAGCAATTAACAGACACACACATATACAAACATTCATACTGACAAGAGATGTATCGAAAGCATCACAGTCGTATCATTCAATTATCATTGTGCGGTTCAGCGTATTTATAGTTTAATGTAAGACTACTTATTGGAAGAAATAATCGGGAATTATTAATTATGATGACCTTTCCTTAAGAGACTAGAACATACATAGGACGCCATCTGATCTCTGTGAAAAAAAATAATTTAGCATTAAGCATTCTAGTAAAAGTATGAACGATTGTCACCACAGATCTGAAAAAAAAAAAGTCGAACAAAGCAGTGCATTTTGACGGTTTGTTTGGAACAATTTTTGACAGACGTCCATACTTGTACTTAGAGGCAGGGTTGAAAAAATCATGAAAAAATCACCAGCATTCACTATGAAATGAATTTTTCATCCATAGTGAACTTTGATGAATTTTAGTGATTTTTTCAGCCCTGCTTAGAGGGCTTTAATCTAGCAGCAGGCTTCCGGAAATCTCACGCGTACACAAATGCGACAGCGAGCTGTGAGACGGAGCGTCGCATGACTCTCAAATCCATGGTGTGCTACATTAATTGTACAAAAGAGAGACCAGAACGATGCACGCGACAAGCTACACGCTCTCAACAAATTCGAGCGTTTCAATTTTTTTTGTCTCATCGCATTGCTCTCTCAATGCGACGCATGTATTCAATCACATGCGACTGTTTCATTGAAACATCTCAATGCGCTCTCTCAGGGCGCCATCGCCGAGTGCTGTTTCGCATGCCTTGACTCTCGCGGTCCCATCATATGTGATGTTGTCGGGTGACGAGAGAAGGAACTGCAAGGGTTTGTTCACAGAAGACTTGTGTGCCCTTTTCACATGTGGCTTTTGAAATGGGGTGAAGTTTTTAGATGGTTCCAGAAATATCTTCTAGTATAGATTTAAGCAGACTCAACACATGGTTCCAGAGATTTATTGGAATCACCGTAAGATCACCACTCATGCTCCTAGGAAGACACAATTGCTTGTCGAAAGGATGCTAAAGGAAGGTAAAGGAAGACTACGTGAGCGGTGGATGGCAGCCTTACGATAGTTGGGATACCGTTAGCATGTTAGCACCCCAAATAATACCGGAATATGTCTGGAACTATGTGTCCAGTCCTTATGCGGAAATCTTCTAAAATACATTTTTTAGAAGCCTCTGAAGCTTTCAGCCCATTTGGTGAAAAAATAAACAAGTTGTTGCGCATTTGCACCAAATTGGACTCAGAATCCCTCAGAATACTTTTACTCAGACCAGTAAAAATATAAATGGACGATTTTGAATGTAAACCAGTACTACATTTTACTATACAAGATCGTATGGTCGGCGTTAAGTCAGAAGGGACTAAGTATCAAAATAAAAACAAAAAATGAGCTAATGATATCATAAGATCAAGAATTCCCTCTGCTACATTTCACTTTTTCAGCCAGATTTGATAAATTAGAGTAGTAAGAGAAAACGGTCAATTGATTTGTCCCATTGCATAAGAAACAATATTGAACAGCCAACTTTAAATTCGTTTTTCTCGAAATCAAAAAAAAATGTCACTTAGTTCGGTCTGACTTGACCGATCATATCAACACGCTAGTAATGATAGAACTCTGAAGATTAATATTTGTATTCTGTCTGGCTTGAGTGAACAATATTTGAAGGGATTATTTTCAACGCAGAAGTGTACTTTGCTGCAAAAACGTTGGTGGTGACTTCTCATTACATATACACAAGTCTACACTTAAAAATTAGCCAAGTTTAGCATGTTGTAAATTTGTTCTGTTATGATCCATTGAGCTGAAATTTTGACTCAAAACTTGCTTTTCCATTGACGTTTGTCCGATCAGCTATGCACAAATTTTATTTTTATTGACAAAAAATGTGGTATTTCTTACACGGGAAATTCATCATATTTGTAGTTTTGCGTCAAGATTTCAGCTCAATTGACAATATATATGTACAATATGTTAAACTTGGCTAGTTTGAAAACGACCTTTGTCCGATCAACTTTTCACCACAAAATGCTGGATTAAGGTTGATGTAATAAATTTAGGAAAAAGTTGTGTCATATCTGTATTGCGGATTGTTGCTAAGCTTCTTGCTTCAGGAATTGTATTGAATATCTGTCATCTGTCAATCAACAAAACTTGCTACGGCAGCATCTGAATTCTTCAGATGTGTTAGTGCTCATAGGATAGTTCATACCAGCCACCATGATGCTGAATTGCAACAATCAATTTGCGACAACAGATTTCCAAAAAGTCCTAATGTTAGTACCGGGGACCCTCTTTCTTGTTCTTCTTCTTCTTCTTCTTCTTCTTCTTCTTCTTCTTCTTCTTCTTCTTCTTCACATTTTAAGCTTATTGCATATCGCATATTAGCTTATTGCGTGCTCTCAACTTAGTGTTCTAGATGCACTTCCACAGTTATTAATTGAGAGCTTTCGATGCCTGTACCATTTTTGCATTGATATGATTGTGTGGCAAGTCCAATCATACTTCTATGCTCAGGGAAGTCGAGAAATTTTCCAACCCGAAAAATTCCTAGATCGGACCGGGAATCGAACCCAGCCGCTTCCAGCATGGTCTTGCTTTGTAGCTGCGCCTTTACCGACTGAGCTAAGGGAAGCCCCGGGGACCCTCGGTGACATTAAAAAAAAATCATATCAACGAGCAAATAAACCACAACTTGATTGTACATTTCGCTTACCAAAGCCACATCTCTTCCTTCGTTCGTTATGAATGGGCTATTTTTCAAGTTAATCCTTTAATCAACGAAAATTGTCGCTAGGAAAACTTTATTGGTCATAGCCATCTGACGCCTCTTCTCCATGTTCGGTAAGAGTGTAGTAGCTAGGTCGCTTTCCATCGTTTTCAAAACAAAACAACACTTTTCCCACATCAAGAACACGAGTTGGTCTTCCAGTTGAGTTTGTTATTTCGATGTCGCATTGAGACGTCGCTTAGCGACGTCTCATTGAGAAAAGCGCATGAGCTTCGCCTCACGCGACGTCGCATGATACTCGTTCTCATGAAACGCATACATCCAGAAAACACAACAAAACTGAATAAAGAGAAACTATCAGACTGCTATGACTATGAGACTATTCGTATTGCGACTCGCATACGGTAGCGCGCGCACTGAAAGCCTGTCTAGCAGTCATGTTAGCCGATACGCGCAACACTGGCATTGCTCAAACCCTCACTTGACTTTTGTTTTGTTCACGTTTGTTGTTATTCGAGAAAACTTATTCAGTGTTGTTTTCTTTTTCGGTGATTCGATTTAGAGTTGGTCATCAATTTAAATCAATCGAAATCATTTTTTCATTGCACTTGGTTTAAGAGAGTATACCTGTAAACACCTGAAAAACTTGATGAAGCAGACCTCTCCAATCAACCCCAATAAGAGTAACAAATATTTTGTTTTGACAGGTCTTGTGCTCGATTGGAATGGCACTGACAGTTAAATTTTAATTCCCACAAAGCGTCTCTTTGTATATTCTAGTATCTCTAACCTTTCATTCTTTTCACTCACTCTACTAGCCTAAGCACCTCCAGTGGGGTCAACGCCTTTACATGAGCACAGATAGAATTCCTGTGTACTTTTTTTATTTCTTTGTTGAAGTCATAAGTTTCATAAACTTTAATAAAGCATGTAATCACATTTTCCAAGAATTTGATTTTTTTATGTGCAAGATTACGAAAGTCTTCATCTGGTTATTTGATTTTCTTTTTCAACTCCGTAATACCAACCGGTGGAAACTAACGATTAAAAATTGGCTCAATACTTGACTAGCCTATTGGTCCCAAGCAAATCGATTAACGTACCCCATTCTAGTCGAAATTCTAGTACTACACTATGTTTGTTTTGATTCGCCATGAACGTTTGACAGATAAAAAGAGGGGTTCGTGGATTTTCCTATTTTTCGAGGGGTGCATCGATTAGCTTGGGACCGAAGATAGTACCAGAGCTGAGCGAAAAAATTGAGCACGTTTCTTCGAAACCTTCTGGTCTTAGAGTTAATTCTATGGTAAGACCAGAAGGTCCCGAAGAAACGTGCTCAATTATCTTCGGTCCCAAGCTAATCGATGCACCCCTCGAAACATAGGAAAATCCACGAACCCCTCATTTTATATATCAAACTTTCATAGCTAATAGTACGTTCAGACTATGGCTTATATCATGTAATGTAGGCTGTCTTGCAATGAGCACTCATATATAAGATTTCCAGTGAAAACTAGAAGTATGAGTGCTCATTGCAAGACAGCGTATATTACATGATATAAGCCATAGTCTGTACGGGGTATAATCAAAACAAAGTGTAGTACTAGAATTTTGACTAGAATAGGGTACGCTTATAGATTTACTTGGGACCAATAGGCTATTCAAGTAGTGAGCCAATTTAAAATGGTTAGTTTCCACCGGTTGGTAATACCACAAACGAAGTGACAGACGACTTTTTCCGAAGAAATTAATTAAAATAATGTGGTTCTCTGTAATAGAATTTTAGTCCACCTTTCGCCCCTCACCGCCAGGTTCGCTAGTATTTTTGCTTTGAATTAATTCAAGTTGGTTTTTTGTGCAATGATCTGGCAACCCGCGTTCTCGCTCGCGTTGACGAGGTGCTGTTTTCTCACTTATCAAAGGAAATTTTGATTAGAGTGAGAAAGTAAGAAACAGTCAGCGTGGGAACCGTGTGCGTTACTTAGGTGCGGCAGAAGGAATGTAGACAACTCTTTCGTTCTCACGGTGTTCTTACGCATGATCCAACTTTACGTCACACTAGATTATGCATAAGAACGTCGTGATAATAAAAGAGCTGACTTGTTTCCTTCTGCCTTACCAATCACATTGTCCTTACATTTTGTTCTGTTCATTCAGGTTGCAATATTGTGAAGTAGTGTATGCTTTAGTTGAAATTAAACTATAATTCAGTTTCAATCACAACTTTGTGAGATAAAAAATAAACGTTGACTACGACCCGTTGAACGTACATACGGATGCACAAACATTTAGCCGGGCTACGTCAGGCACCCAAAGAATGAGGAGGAATTTCGACTGCCGATATCTGGCTCATGTGAAACTGGTCTGGAAGTTGGGAGATGCTTAGCAGAACACTTGCACTTGATTGTGGTAAGATTTGCTTTTCTCGT